TACTCTGAATCATAATATATAATTATGTCTCATATTATAGAACATTATATAAGGATTAGAAGTAACACATTATGTGGTGGTGACAAACAGAGCTGGTAGTTTATATATAATTTAAAAGTACAAGGTAACAAAAAAGAATGATGCTAGGATCCATAATTGAAAATTTCTTTTCTACTTGAAACTATTGCTATCTGTTTGCTAGAATTGAGTACTTCTGGGTAATGAAGAGTGGACACAGACAGGTGACTTGGCAGTGTGAGACCAAGTTCAGTACTTTGGCTCTTTTTATGGATTTAAGTTATTTTTGAACTCTGAAAATCCTGAGATTATTATGAGTTGCAAAGGAGAGATATCGCTTAAGTCCTCAGAAACACAGTAGTGTCTGAGGGTCCTTGGTGTGGGAGGTCCTTCTCTCTATGTGTTGCTTTTATGAATAAAATTTTTATGACTAAAGAAACTGTTTGAGCCTATAGCAGGGCAGAACAGAGTTAGATGGGAAAAACTAAACTGAATGCTGGGAGAAAGAAGGCAGAGTCAGGAGAAGCCATGTAGTCCTGATGGAGTCAGATGGAACTTTACCGGGTAAGCCACAGCTAAGTAGCGATACACAGATTACTAGAAATGGGTTAAACTAAGATGTATGAGTTAGCCAGAAATACACTTAAGCTATTGGCCAAACAGTATTGCAAATAATATGGTTTCTGTGTGATTATTTTGGGGCTGAGCAGGCAGGAACAAACAAGCTGCCTCTTACTACAGGTCCCTGCCTGGTTCCACCATGAGACAGATGCTGAGGAGAGCTCTTCAGGCTGCAGCAAGGCTGGGAAGGTATTTCAAGTCTGCGAGACCAGGGCTAACAGGAATAGAAACCATCTTTGCTTGTACATATGGAATTCCCATTATTAAAATGCTTCTTCGTTTTTATTTTAGACTAAAAATAAAAAAGGGAGAAAGCATGCTCATAATCTTTGCAATTTTAAATGATAAATGTGATAACTTTGGCAGAATATATACAATGCATTTTATATAAAAGGTGGAACTAATATAACCAAATCATTTTTTAAAGTTATTTGCAACTGAGTGCTTTGTATAGATCTACCATGTGAGCCTACTCCTATATACCATAAACGTGAGAACTAATCAAACCAGCAGGAGGGATTTCCTCTCCTCCACAGGGAACCATATGGCAGGTAAAAATGTGGATAGTCACACCCACCAATGTCCCTCTCGAAGCCCTCTCTCTGTTCAGCCAGAACTACAGCTGAACTAATAGCACAGCTATGCAGACCTGGGACTGTTTTCTTCACCTGGTGATCCACACAGCAATATTCCAAGTGGAAAGTGCAGTGCAGTTCGGGGCACATGCTCTCCTTCATAGAGATGGAGCTGGTGGAAATCCATCAACAAACCCCGAGCCCCGCGTGCTGCCCGCACACAGGCGCTATAAATCAAGTACGATGTCATCAGTGTGACTGGACGTCAAGCCTCCAATCTGATTTGAATCTCTCTCTCCATGGCAATGTTTCTTGTAGCTGAAGACATGTGCCTTTTCTCTTGGTTTTGGTAGTTTCATAGTTTTGATAATTTTTATAGCTTGATTGTGATAGCTTATGGAAATAGTAAGAGGATCAGATTCAATAGAGAAACATTTTTTTTTTGCAATCCTGTGACTTTTATCATTACACATGCTATATACTCTCTGAATTAAATGGGGTGTTGAGAACTTAATGATCCATACAGTATTTTAAGGCTTCTTAACATACCTTCAAAGTTCGCCAATTCTCTTCTGAAAACAATTTTAATTGTCTTTACAAAGACTGTCAGCAAGTATTGTATGCAATCAGTTCATCTGGTTTCCAGCAGTCTGGAAAAGAAACATTGCGATTTCAGAACAAACAGCAATGCTTAACATGGGCCTTGGACCTCTTCTGGTTTTTATCACTTTAGGGGCCTGAGTTCAAGTCATGAGTGCTTACTTTTGCTTTAGTTTAAGAGTTGAAGAAACAATCACTTGATTAAGTAAGTGATATTTACCATCTACACATTAACATAGAAGTTCCTGAACAGAATTGTATGAAAAGTGATGGATCAAATAAGTAACAGATTCACTTGGCCTACAATAAACACTTAGAAAACACGAAACTTTGGGTCCTGATTACAGATTCTGGGCTAAAATGCATAATAGTGGTTCACGGCTTTCTCGAGCTCATGAGTGAATGAAATTGCTTTTGATAACTATATGGAATGAGCAGCCTGGAAGCGTGTCATTTATTTATGCTACATTGTTAGAATAATCCAAAAGTTAACATGGCTTTTATGAAGGAATAAACCTTTATGTGATAAGTATGTCTTAGGTCTTGTTAATTCCTTACCAGGCTCTGAGTCTTATACCACAGAAGCTGTAGATTGGCTGAAATGGAGCTAAAGTCAGGAACTGCTGAAGAAAACTCAGCTCCCTTTGATAAGTAGGTTTGTCTCGATGTAGACATCTCACACCACCGAGCTTGGAGGATAAGTAGGCATGACACGTTCAGACCTGTAAAAGGTCTGCATCAATACTTTGCATGTTTGTGTGGTTCAAACTTGCTCTGATTTGTGGAGCAAGAGAACTGAGTCAGAACTCTATGTAGACAACATTCACACTCAGCACTGTGGGGAGCACACATAGACGGGTCAATCATACTGATGGATGGTCTGTATGGCATCACCACAAAAGCTGTAGCTGAAGAGAAATGCGGAGGACTTGGCTGGTGGCATCCATTTCTGGAAATCTGGGACCAACAAAGCTCTCTCAAATTCTACACTCGGTGTTAGCCACCTATACTCGGTGGAAATGCCTTACATAATAATTTTTCCCTAGAATAAGACATAAAGATAAGAAATGACTCAAAGTAAAACATGCACACAAGAACCTGAGTTTTATTAATTATAGCTATAGATTTGCGCACAAAGTCAGCATGGTCTGTTGTATTAAATATATTTAAATGTCTCTTTTAGCTATTTTACTGTTCTTTTCAACCCAAAGCTACCAATAGTAATAGGAGTATTTATTTATACATTAAGGTCTGAATTCTAGAGCAAAGTTCTTTGTAAGCACACTATTTCACTATGGCTTCACTCTGGAGCCCAGGCTGGCCTAGAACTCACCATGTACTTCAGCCTGACTTCCAGTTTGTGACAATCCTCCACCTCAGTTTCCTGCATTCTGAAGTTACTAGGTGAGGACTGATTTCAGTACAGCAAGGTCTACACTCAAGTGCCAAACAGCAGGCTGCTCCACATGTTCTCACACATTTACTCGTCACAGAATCTGACTTCCGAGCAGGCTCAGGCCCAGGCTTGGAGACTGGGGTCAATACCTGCTGCTGAAACTCTCATCTTCTTAAAGTCTCAAACACCTTCTACTAAGCAACCTCTGAGGGCTTAGATGGGTGTTTTCCTTACTTTGGATGGAACAATAAATACATGTGTCCCATGGAAACAAATGAGGAAAGACAGCCCAGAGAGATTAGCTCAGAGACAAAGGACATGCTGCAATTACCCAACAGACACTTTAGAGCTAGAACTCCAAACACCATCCAAGGAATTCCAGACACTCTTGAAACAAGTGGGGGAAAGCACGAATGCAGAAAGAAAAAAAAAAGTAATTATTGTATGCATTAGTTGTGCAAAACGCTGCTCATTATTACTTCTCCATACATGTAAATAATATCCTTTAATCATATTCATCCCCACGACTCCCCATCCTTTGCTTAAACAGTTTACCTTCTGTTTTAATGTCCTTTTTAAAGTCTAGATTTAAAATGAAACCACAGCACTGAACTAAAGTTCAGTGAACAAGGTCAAGGGTCGAATTAAGAGCCAGAGAGAATCAACGCCCTCAAAGCTAAAACAGTAGAGACTACCCAACTGGATCCCAAACAAACAAAACTCCACTATCACAACATTAGAGTCCAGGAAGGACTCTAATGAGGTTAAAATGAGGAAAGTGAGGTTAAAAAAAAAATCAAAAACATAATGGTGACATTTGGCAGAAAATACCCCCCCCACAGAGATTTAAAATATGAAGTGTAACTAAATAGAACAAAATTCTACAGAACTATCCATCCCAAAAGACATAGCATTGACATTCCGCAAAATAGTCAAAGAAAAAAGTGGAGCAGCAAGAACTGGCATTTTACGTGAACAAAAAACAGTGCAAATGACAGAGAAACCAGGAAAAGAAGAAGATACCACAGAGTTTTTAAAGGCAAGAAAACAGGCTATGTCTCAAGTCCTGTCTCTGGCTCAGTAGCGATGCACTGTCGGATGGAGCACCACTAACGCAATATGCCACTAAAGGCCACATTCTAGAAAGCATTAAGAGGAGGCGTTCAATAGCCACGTTTCCTTGCTCTGTTAAAAAATGACATGGTTCTACAGAGCATGAGAACGAGAAGGGAGCTTCAAGAACTGTTTATTTTTTTCTAGAAATCGTGTCATAGGTAAAAACTGGTGTTAAAGCCATTTAATAAGTTTTAAAACTACTCCCCACTTTGCTTCCTTCCTGCCCTTTAGTTCCTGAAACATAAAAATAGATTCTTGAAAAAAAAAATGTCAGTGAATTCTAATGCTGTGACAGCCATGGTAATATTCCGTTTGAAGAATCCGGTTATAATATAAATTCTTCAAATACTCTTCCTTAGCTAATGTCTGTGACAACAATGAAGTCATTTGGAATCTACAGGGGCCAATTTGTGCCGCACAGGTTTCAGGGCTTCCTGGCTATAATTAGAACATGGTGGCAGGGCTTGATGGGTTTGGTTACTATAGCTACCCCATATGCAGCCTTCCTCTGCTGACCAGGGACTATGCCATGTATCTGCTGTAAATTGCTTATTAGTCACTCGCCATTTATTTTCTGCTTCAACAGCAACCCCAAACTGGCCCTGTCAGAAATTCACGCTTTTGAATTTATGGGGAAACAGACCAGAAGGAAATAAACACATATTTTCCTGAGACCTTCTCCCATTCACTGTTGCTTCTGCTCAGGAAAATACCGAGTATTTGTCTAAAATACTGCTAACATTATTTTGTATTTTCTGTGTGTTTTTTTTTTTACAACAGAAAATGGAGAACTTTCTCCTGCCAAAAGTATTCCAAATTATGAGATCTCTTTACATTTAGAAGAGAAGATAAAACAACTAATAAACTTCAAGGATTTACTTTTAAAATGTTTAATTGCTATTACATTGAAAGCTGTTTAAAGTTTAGTTGTAGATACAAATACAGTTATCACTTTGGGTAGATTGTGTTCTTTTACAATTTCATACATGTGCACTGTGGATTCTACACCCTCCCCCGACTTCTCTTCCATCCCTAACAGCCCATCTTCTCCCTATAAACAAACCTTTTTCCTCTACTTGTCTTGGTTTTTGTTCAGTGTCCCACAGAATCTGACTGGGGACACTGGTGAGGTCAATTTCAAAGTTGACATCAGATGTTTTTATGGTACTGAACATGTCTGGGACTTGCAAAGAAATCTGGTCATGTTCTCCCATGGTTACATCTACATTCACTGAGAGCTAACAGCACACACGCTCATATCCCTGAGGGCACTGTGTCAATATTCTAAGTATATGCACAGCCTCGCACAGAATATCGCACTGAAGCTATTGATATCATGTCAAAGCTCAGCACAGTAATGAACATTTCAGCAACTGTCTCAGAGCTTTGAGCTGACGCACGAATGAACAGACCCAGTATTTACCTAAAACAAACATGTTCTTTACATTCTACTTTCTCAAGTCTTTAAAAATACGAGACTTTTGGCTCATAATATAAATATATATAATATATATGTATATACATACATATATATATATCATAAGCAAGGCATGACGGCACAACACAAATCTGTAATCTACACTGCTATGGAGACAGAGTCAAGAAACCCTGAGATCAAGGTCAGTCTGGGCAACTCAGCAAGATCACTTTAAAACACAAAAATAGCTTATTATTGAATTAGATTTTAATAATTTTTAGCACATTAAATCTCAACAACAGAGTGGCAACAGTGCTTACCAGATGAGTAAAAAATTGCCACTTTAATGTAGAAGTATAGGGTCATAAAGAATGTTGTGATAAACGCAGACAAGAATTTGCCTTTGGAACAAGTTGCCTTTTTAAACTGTGTAGAAGCCAATTTCAAATTAAACCTAGGATCTAGAGGTTACCACAGATGGCCTTCAGAGCTTGAAAGCGTGTTTGTAGCATACATAAACATAAAATGTAAACTCAGTTTTCATGTTAGAACCCCCATGATCACAGTCAGGTCCAAAGGAAACCCCAATTCCCTAAACGCCAAAGTTCTATCTATCCAGAAACGAACCCATCCTGGACCACAGGAACATTTTCAGTGGGTAGAGTAAAGCCAGCATTCCACAGGAATGCACAAAACCAGTTCCCATCTTTGAATCTGGATATTTGGACTGCCTTTGGGAGTTTGGGGAATTGGAGTTTCCTTTGGACCTGACAGTAACTGCCTATGGAACTTGTTGCAGGGTGTGATCCAGAATGCTCACTGTGAAAAGACAGTGTCCCAACCACAATGGGACTTTACACACGGCAAGCTCCTTTTAACTCAAAACCTAACTGCAGTATGAAGAGCAAGGAAGCTATCAGAGACAGATGGAGCCAGGCATCACTGTAATGATTTAAGCTCCTTCCCTTAGGGCCATGACATTACTAAGTCAAAAGGGCACTGACAGCCCACTAGGGCAATAAGCATCTGATAAATGAGGTGCTGCCATGCTTCTGATAGAGTAATTGATCATTTCCAATTAAATCTTGAGAAAAATCAATGGTTGCTTCTTAGACTGTTTACATCAATTAACTTGTATCAATAATGAATATCTTATACATGCTAAATTTTTAGCAGAGGGGTCATTCTGTTTATAACCTGTCCTACTTTTGAAATTTGGCATACAACATCAGAGTCAAAATATGACACAGGGGAAGAGTAAACTTGAAAATTCATCCATAGCAACAAAATCCTTTTTGAGGGGAGGTCATGGATCTTATACTATGGTCCAGGCTAGCCTGGATTTCATAAGTAGCTCAGACTGGCCTGGGACTCATCTCTGATTTGCCTGAATGCACTATGTAGCCCAGGCTACCCTCAGAAATAGTCAGGGCATGGATGAACACAGATTCAACTCTGAAGCAGTAAAGTAACTCCGGGAAGTGTTTAAGACTGCTGGGTTGAAATCTGAGAAAGTCACAATGTATTGGGACTTGATTATTCAGATTTATTCTACTTAAATCACTTCTAAAGTGGGTTATACCTTTTAGATAGATGACTCTGGTGATGATACGGTCACAGATTTTTGCTCTATTTCCATTCACGCAAGCATAGCCATCAGTTACATATGAGTGTCAGTTGCAGCCCAGAAATTCAGGCTGCTCCAGGAGAAACAAGTCAGAAGTGGGCTTGTTCCCACTGAGCATGTGGTCTGGTGAGACACGTGGAGAATGTATACACCCACGAGCAAGGGTCAAGGCAGGCAGCCCAAAGCAATTGCTTTTTCTTCTGATCTTCAAATACCTGGGCGGTTGGAAGGATACTAGGTGTATGTGTGGGTCTTCTCCTCGAGTTAATCTTCCCAGGGGATACCTTTCAGACGTCTCCAGAAGCCTGTCTCTTAGTTGATTACAGATCCAATCAAGTAGATAACCAAGATGTACACCCCAAGAAATTCAACTCAAAAAACAAACAATAACAACAAAGTCAAAACAAAGCACACAAAGAAACAAGGAGTCCCATCAATGCAGTGGGGTTTGATCTCACCTGAAGAAACTTCAGACTCTGAAGTGAAATGCAGACCATAAAAAAAGACTGGCTGATGGCTCAGTGCTTGAGAGCATTTGCTGCTCTTGCAGAGGACCCACACTGGACAGTTCCCAACTACCTGCAATTCCAGCTCTAGGTGACAGGACTCTCCATTCTGACCTCTAAGGCCATCTGTACTCACATGCAAACATCCACATCCACACACACACACACATACACATTTATTTAAAGATAAAGTAGATCTGAAATAAAAAAAAAAAGCAATGCTAGAAACTAATCCTGGAATTAAAGAAACAAAATAAAAACACTTGAGATATGTTACATGCCAGGCAGGCCTTCAATTACCTAGGCCTTGCCAATACTACTTAGAAGCACTGGCATTGTTATAACATAAATAGATACCCACATCTTTAAACAATCATTTGAATAAAGGAAGTTATATTTAGTGGCTAGGCAGGTGACCCTTCTCCAGTCCTGGTCCCAGGTAATTCACCGCAGCACACTGACGTCAGCCCACTAAGAGGGAAAATATGATGTAGATCCTACCTACTTATTCACAAGGTGCCCCAAGCCAGTGTAACTGCAGTGGAATTTGGAAAAAATTTCTCCAAGGCTGGGAAGTCATTTTCAGGTTAAAATCTGGGTCAGAATATCCAGTACCAGCAAATGGGTCACATGAGACCAGCAGTTTCCACAGCAGCAAAATGCCAAGGAAACAGCCAGGAGACAGCTTTAGGATATGGGTAGCTTAAACCTAGTATCGGCCCAACCAGTCAGAGGACAGATTAGGAACAATAGGAACATGGAGGAAGTGTTGGGGATGCAGATGTTGAACCAAGGATCACATTAAAATAGAAAGAAGTCCACTTACAAAGAAACTGCAGCCTGAGGATTGCTTCCCTTCTTTACCAACAAGGAGAGAGAGATGAAGAACACACTGAAGGTTAACTGAAAATCATGTGGACAGCAAAACCACCTTTCAACAGGAGTCAGGCATGCATTTATAAATACACATTAAAATGTTTAACACCATGAGGTGTTTCCCAAAAGCATCCTAAAATCAAAATAAATAAACAAAAGCCAATAAGTAAATGGAAACACAACCTTGGACCCCACAAAATCATCTGAAATGGAAGTGATAAAACTGTGAGAGAATCAAGATGTCCTTTACTATATGAAACTTAGTTTCCTCCTGTAACAAAAATAAAACAGAAAATAGGCTAGGAGTGAGATGCAACAGTATTAAAATATCAAAACCATGGAAACACAGAATTCAGCTATATGTATTGGTTCACACTCAGCATTTAGGAGGCTGATGCAGGAGAATACCGTAGGCTAGCATGGGCAGACAGTGAGTTCCAGGCTAACTTCAGCAACAGAGACCCTAAAACATCAAAATAGAACTCAGATACTGACTAGCTTCATAAAAATTAATAAATGCTGCCAAGGGTTTAGGAGAAAAAGGAACGTGTATCCCTTGCTGAGAGTGACCAGAAAAAATAAATAAATAAAAACTGAGTAGGAAAATGTCCCAAAGTGTGAAAATATAACGAATGTGGCTGAGTTGTCACTCCTGTGTAAATGCACAAAGGAATCCTGTCAGAATCCAGAAGATGTAAGTTGGGTTCTTAGTCACAAACACTCCAAATAGTCTCCATCTAGCAACCATGAGGAAAAAGAGCCAACTCAACCTCATTAATGACACAAGCGCCATTAACTTACTAGTTTGATTTCTTTACCATCCAATCGAAATCCCCAAAAGGATACATTTACACTTACTGTGCTCTAAACACTATGTGTGTACTCAAGAAATGGTATAGTTCGCTGTTATTTTGACTTTTGAGAGTAGTGACTTGCACAAACGAGAAACAGAACTTTCTGAACACACAGCTTTGATGCACATTAAGGCTGGTGAACAGGTTAAGGAAGGCACATCTAGACTTTGACTATAGCTAGGCAGCTTTGAAACTAACATTTTGATTCTACCTCGTGTTTCTGGTTAAACAAAGCTTTTCCCCAATAAAGAGTCAGTAAACAAGAAAAGTCAATCGTTTTTCCTTTAAAAGGTGTATCTATTTTTAGTATTCTTATAAGTTAGCTTTATACAAAACAAGTTGAAAATTCCATGGCTTTAAGAATTCTTTCAAGGGAAGGTATGTAGCTCAGTGGTGAAGCACTTGCCCAACATGGCCAAGATCTTGGACCCACCATGGTAAGGGAAATAACACTATTTCCGGAATCTAGAAAACGCAAAGATATTTGTGCTTGTGTTACGAACCACTTAAAATTGGCACCTATATAATTAGGTTTGGGGACCATGTAGCACAGGGCGTTGTTGAGAACGCTTTTTGTAAACTGTATATACAGTCAAGTAGTAGCAGGACACTAGAGTGTGGAGGCTTGGCTGAGATGTCTGCTGTTTCCTCCATCCCTCCCTGAGATGGGTCTGTCCAGATGCTCGGCCTGGGACTTAAGAACCTCACATGTTCCCACACTCAGTTAAGCACCACCAGGCAGGGCCAGCAGTAGGTCCGTCCAGATGCTCATCCCGGGAACCTCGAAGTCTCCATCCAGCGCCTTGTTGGTGCGCACAGTCTCCAGTACCTCTTCCTGCAGGGGTGGTGGGGCCTGGCACAAGCTCTGCAGCCGGAGGCACAACTCCTCCCAGGGCATGTCCTCAGGCTGCATGGGGACCCAGGAGCCCTTCTGCAGGTCATAGTGCAGTTGCGTGGCCCAGGCTGTGAGCAGGCCCAGGTAGGCGCGAGACAGCGTGGGGTGGCGGCCGGCCAAAGAGGCCAGGCGCAAGGCGGGCAGCCGGCGGCAGAAAGCGGTCAAGACCTCGGGGCTGTTCAGAAGCCACCGCAGCAGTTCCTGTGTCTCTTTCGCACCCGCAGAGTCTGCGGCGTGAGCGGGCTGCGGGTCTACATCGCGCAGCAGCGCCTCGCCCGCCACGTTCAACACGTGTTCCCGAGGCCCCCGGGCCCACAACGTCTCGAGGAGCTCGCGCCCGGCCGCCGGGGCAGCACTGCCCAGTTCGTGCAGGCGCGCGCACAGCAGCTCCGCGTGCGTGCGCAGCAGCGCGCCCCGGGGCGCGTCCCCGCCGAGGCGGAGCAGCAGGTGCAGCGCGCTCCCGCGGCGCGCCACGAGCGCCAGGCGCGACTGCGGCGCGTTGTCCTCGCTGTCCGCGCCGGGCCCGGGGAAGAGCAGGCTCGGCAGCGCGTGGGCGGCGGCGGGCGCGAGCGCGCGGTTCCGCAGCAGGCGCAGGGCAAGGCGCGCGTCCCCGAACTCCAGCGCCGCGAAGCTGCGCAGCCCGGGCGGCCCGCCCAGCGACTGGATCCGCCTCTCTAGTGCCTCCCGCGCGCGGCCGCGGCCCGCGAAGCGTCGGTACACGTGGAGCAGATAGCGCGCCCACTGCAGCGCCCTACGCACGGTCGTTGCATCCCAGGAGCGAACCAGCGGCCCACACGACACGGCCAGCACCTCGGAGAAGCGCTCCACATGATGCACTAGCGGCTCCATGGCGGCCGCTTCCGCCCTGGCCGTCCAAGGAACTAACCGATTGGACGTGCACGCGAAGGCCCGCCTTTGCTTGCTCTGCCATTGGGCGAGGCTCATGTCAATCTCGCTTCGGGTTTCCGGGTCTCTTGGCGCTGGAAACGAACTGTCTATTGCGAGCTTCCACTGTGGTACTGGGAGAGAACCCGTTTGTGGGCATTTGTGGTGGACATTTTGAGCAGTTTTCCGAAAGGGGGCTGACATTCATCGCAGTGCGGATGGGTTCCGCGTGTGAACCCAAAGCTCTCAAACAGCCCGTTTGCCAGGTACTTTTGGAACCAGGAACCTCACAGGCTGGGCAAGCATGCTACCACAGAGCTGCAGCCCCGGGCTTTCTTCTTTTATTCTTCCCCCAACCCCGAATAAGCCTCCCACAAAATTGATCAGGCAGCCTTTCAACTTGCAATACATTTGCCTCAACTACTCTTGTAAATGACTTTACTGCCTCGAGGCTCCTAGCCAAGCACGTGATCTAATATTTATGCTCGAGTTAAGCGCTTATTTATGCCAGAGTCTGCTAAATTCTGGCCTTTAATATCAAATCATATATTTAAACTAGTTTTGTTTATCCATTAGCCCAGACTATATTGTTTGGCCTTGAGATTTTATTTTTAATCTGACTGATAGGTCTTAAAATCCTGGTTTGACTGGTAGAAATTACAACCAGTGGATCAGCCAACCCACCTTTTAGTAGGTGTGCAGAGGTTACTGGTTCATTCACTTATCGAAAACTTAAGTCACGTGGTGTGATAGTGTGTGGAGTACAGGACTAGAATAATAAATTAAGTCTAGTTAAATGCAACCGTGCCCCACAGGATACGCTAATGTTCCATTTAAGAGAAATAATTCACTAATAATCTCATATGTGGTAGGCAAAAGTAAGAGTCACTGTATCTTGGGTGTTAGGGGAAGCCTCATTGAATCCTCTTTCAACTGAAGGCCCAAAGGATACTCTGTAAGAGCCCCAAGGCCATGGGAACCGTTAATGTGCCCCAAACTACTAGAATGAAATCTAGCTCTAATTCGGGATGAGAAAGACGTCCAAACAGCGTCGATTCCATGGTTGGGACAGTGCAGAGAAACCTCACCAGCTCCAGCTCACCTTCTCAGACCTGATTCTGCCTTACATCTTGGCATCACAGTGAGTATCTATTTCATAGAAGCCATTTTTATTGAGTAGATATGCATGCCTATGACGATTTCCCATCGGGAGAAAGCACCATTTGGGGGTTGGAACCAGTGTTCCATTTAATTCAGAAAAGTTCAACTAGAGATTGAAAGATGATAAATACCTTAATTTCAAGAAACCTGTACAATAGAGGCAGAAATTAGGAGGGCCCCAAACATACTAAAGTATAATGCAAATCAAATTTTGTGTATTTTTAAATCTACAAGTGTGGTGTTTTTCAGGACCTGTTGGAAATGGATAGAGTTCTGGAAGGTTTTTAGACTGAGATTTGTTTTATCCCATAAAAAGGTTTACACTATTAGGAGATAATGCAAAATCAAATAGAGAAATAATAGAAGTTAAAATGTGAATATAAGATATGTATATTTTGTGCTGCAAATGCCAGGAACAATCTTCTACCTGCAGGTCACGGTCTGCAAATTTCCAATATATAGTAAATTAGAACAGAAAATGGAAGTACAGTTCTAGGAATTTTTTTTTTTTAATTAAAATAGCATTTCATTCAAACCACAGGAGTTGAGCAACATAAACAACCAAGAAAAAGACATTTTCACAAAGAACGTACGGCAGAGGGCTCTGGAGAGAACGGAAGTTATATCTGTAACATTCTGGTGTGGATTTTTGTTCCTTACTTTCAGTATGTATTCTGTGGTGTTTTCAGTAAGAGGTGGCCCTCATGGCTCTGGTAATTGAACACTTGGTCCCTAGTTGGTAGCACTGAGAAGGTGGAAGAGGTACGCCTTGCTGGTGCGAGTATGTAATTAGGGTGGGTTTCGAGAGCATAAAGCCTCATCTACTTCTGGTTTCATCTTTTTCTGTTTCCTGTTTGCAGGGGAGCATGCCAGCTCTCAGCTTTTTGCTTCTGCTGTCATACTTGCCGCTATTCCGCGATGGACTCTTGCCCGACTCTGGAACCCTTGAACCGTAAGCTTAAATGAGCTCTTCTATAAGTCACCTTGCTTGTGATGACTTATCACAGCAGCAGATAGTCGCTAACGCTCATTTTCCATTACCGCTGCTCTGCTTTGGGATAGAGATGCTACCTCAGCTCCACATCAAGACCAAAAATTCTTAACTAATGACATTAATCTTGTCTTAATTTACTAATTTGTCTAGGAGTCTATCCTTAAACCTCTCTCTGTATAACATTCTCTACTAAAATAAGTTCAGAAGTGGCCAGAGGAAATAACTAGTCATTAGGTTTACATGGTTCAGAAAAATACTCTTATTCTATAGTCAGCAATGAGTCCAAGCTGAACACCAGGCATGCTTGTGAGACAATTTCTTTCTCATGAAGAAAAATTGAAGGAACACAGTCCTTAATCTTAATCTGTTTACAAGTGTGGGGGTTTTGTATATTTCCAATTGCATTTGACAATTTCGAGTTTAGTTTATTTAAATGTACTTAGCTAATAGAAACCTGCCTTACAGTGTATGGTTCATAAACTTGGACTTAATGAGACCTTCCATAAACTTGATCTGGTTTGGCTTTTGTTAGTATGTACTTCTGTAGTGTACAGGCCTTGGCATGGTCTGCTTCCCATTCCTCTTTCCACATACAGAACAGTAACCATCTGCATTGCCATGAGCAGTAGAAGAGGAGATTTCATCCAAGAAAGATGTAGCTGACTCCTGTAGTGTTTGCTCTTGGTCCTAGGAAGTTGCTTAGACAATACTATTCAGCTGAATCTTTTCATTTGAAAATTTGAGTTGATATTATTCCTTATTCGGTATAGTTTTAGAGGGGTGTTTTAAGATATTCAATAAGCAAGAAATCAACAAACTGCACAGCTGAGAAAACAACAAAGACAATCTGTCTGGTGTCCACTCTACCTAATGCTGCCCACTCATCCTGCCTTATCCACAGCTCTGTTTTGCACAATTCTGGCTACCCAAAGTCAACTGCAGACTGAGAACATTACGTGGAAAATTCTACAAGTAGGTAGTTTATTTTCAATTAGAGCCATTTTTAAGAGTGTGATAAAGTCCTCACACCATCCTGCTTCGTCCTGCTCAGGACAGGAACCCTCCTCCTGACCATTGTGCTTACCCGCCATCATTGCAGTCTCTGAGTGCTGCCTTCGTTGCAATATGAAATGTCCTCCACATGCTTGTGTGTTTGAATGCTTTGTCACCAGCAGAGGGTGTTTGCCAGGTTAGGTGACCTTTACCTGGCCCAGCCTTACTGGAGGAAGTCACTGGGTGGGCCTTGAGGTTTTATAGCCTGCTCTGTAGTTCCTGACTGTGACAATGTAAGCAGCTACCTCAGGCTTCTGCTGCCATGCCTTCCCCATCATGACAGTTAGAAGGCCACCAACACCCAAATACATGCCAAGGAACATTTGCTTAGATTGACGTGTGACAGTAACAATTAAGTTCCCAGTTCTTTAAAGAGACCGAGAAGAACTGTGATGTAAGTTGTGATGTGTTCCTATTTGTCCATCAGTACAAATTCTGAATGTCAGTAGAGAGCCATGCTGCTAGTGCTATCATTCTGGCTAATGATGACTTTTTGATGTTGTTGTTGTTCAAGGCGAAAGAAAATCATAAATAAAGGCAAGTTTAAAATATGCTGATCAGTGCCCCAGAGAGGCGATACAGCAAGAAGGGGAACTTTCCTGTAGGCCTAAGATGCTACCTGAGCTCTTGGATTGGTGGAAGCCAGCACTCTGCTAAGTTAATAGATTTCAAAAAGCATGCATAAAACTGTAGTAGAGGGCTGGAGAGATGGCTCAGAGGTTAAGAGCACTGACTGCTCTTCCAGAGGTCCTGAGTTCAATTCCCAGCAACCACATGGTGGCTCTCAGCCATCTATAATGAGATCTGGTGCCCTCTTCTGGCCTACAAGCATACATGGAAGAAATGTTGTATACATAATAAATAAATAAATCTTTAAAAAAAATAAAAAACTGTAGTAGAACTGTGAACAAAATCTCCCGAAAAGAAGCTGTGTTTACAGAGATCGACAGACAAGAATGTCAGCACCGTGGAGCGATCGGAATGCTGTGGTTGGTTCAGAGGCCAATTACTTTACCTTGGTCTAGATCTAGCCCCCTGGAACAGCTATTCGTTGTCCACCTCTGTGAACCCCTTTTAAAAGTCATCTTCCAGAAATGTGACTGATCCTCTCAAACATAAAAATCAATATTATTAAAAATTGCACTTATAGGGAGGGCTCAGGGACTTAGCCCTAGTGAGTAAGAACACTCTCGTGTCAGCAGGAGGGCATGAGTTTGACAGCACCTGTGTAAAAAACCAGCATGGCTAAGCATGCCTCCTCTAAAGCAAACATCAGGGTAGAGGCAACAGCTGACGTCAGGAGCTTATTGACCAACGAGCCTAGCAAACACTGTGATCTTTGAATTCCGTAACAAATCCCCTCCAAAGGCAGTAACAAGTAGTTTGAGGAAGGCGTCTAACTACTTCCACTGACCTCCATGTGTGTATACACGGGTCTATGCATCTGCACATTTATATTCATGCACCAAACAAATGTGCAGAGACACAAATAATATGCATATATGAAACAAGCTTACTTTTCTCTTAAAATACAATTTTAAGCATTGGGACTTTTTACATAAAATTAATATATAAAACCTTCATTCTACTTTCTTGTCTGTGTTTGATGTGGAATCAGGCAAGGTGTCTTTCCTGTACATATGTCATTTGGTGGTTAGTGGATGGAACTGGAGACCATCATGTTAAGCTAAATAAGTGATGCTCAGAAAGATGTATATTGTCTGTTTTCTTTACTATGCAGAATCCAGATGAAAGGAATACATAAATATATATTATATATAACATGAAGTTGGAAGGGCAGTCATTTAGGAGAGTGATGTTATGGTTTGGTGAAAATTGTCTTCCATTGTCTCATTTCTTGCAACACTTGGTCCCAGTAGGTGGTGCTTTTTGGAGAGGTTATAGAACCCTTAGGAGGTGGATCCTGGCTGGTATCATAATTACATTAGATTTGGGAGAGCTTTGAGGGTTTGTAACCTTCCTGTTCTCCCTTGCTGCTTTCTGTGTGCTGTTGGAAATGTGGTCAGCCAGCTTCCTGGTCCTGCTGCTGATCTGCCATGCCTTCCCTGCTGTGATGGGCTCTATCCCTCTGAAACCATAAGCCAGGATAAACTCTTTTTTCCTTAAGTTGCATTGGTCATGGTATCTTATTACAGCAACTGCAAAGTAACTAGTACAGGTAGTAAGGAGACAAGCAGGAGGGGATATGATAGGTGTGGGTGGTGAATATAAACGAAGTAAAAATGGTGAAACTGATAGACACATGATAATATCTTCATGAGCCTATTGTTTTGTAACCAATTGAAATAATTTTTATTTAAACTATTATATTCCAAAGAAGCATTACTCTAACAGAACTCAAAAGCCACACTGCATTGTAATGTACTTTGTGTTTCAAATGCATTGTGTTTCAAATGAGCTGCCTTAGAGTTTTGTAAATAGGGAGAAAAATTGTCCACTTTTTTTCCTTTTTGCCCATTCATTTTCTTCTTTCCTCCTCTGTTCTGAGCAGAGGATAGATAGACCACCATCATGGACACTGTCAGCCCCTCCCCTTGACCTCTGACTTTCTACTGAGCTAACCGGTAAGAGGCCTTAGCAAACAAGCAGGAGGACCAAGGGTAGGCTCTGTCTGCTAGGCTCTATCTTGTCCCTGCAGATGTTCTGCAGCGTATTCTTCCTTGCAGTCCTCTGGATTTCCTGCATATGGTGACATACTTTGTTGACTGTTTTACCTAGCTCAGATCTTGTAAATATTCCTCTATTTATTTATCATCAAAATTGCTCATGAATCTGCCCTTATTTCCTGACAGGACCTCAACAGATACAGTTGTCCAAATTCTCAGCCATTAAGTCATGTGAGACACCAATTTCTATCAGCACTTGCGTAGGTAGTGATAACTACTTTAGTGAATGTATATTCAAATACCTGCCATTGAAATAATGACATATGGACTGCCAATCTGTGGTAAAAATCATCATTACAGAGAGACTATATGACAGGCAATGTGAAGTCATTTTGTGATGTCGTTAACTAGATGTGAACAAAGCATTCCATAGTAGTGTGGGCATGGTGGAATAGTTGGAACATAGACCCAGGGTTTTTTGTTCATTTGTTTTGTTTTAATATCCAGTTGCCTTTCAGATCTTATTATTAATTTTGGAACACAGCACTAGAACATATATCGTTTGTGGAATAAAACAATGTAGAGAATTGATTGTCATTTGCTGGGACAAAAACAGTGAGATCTCCTTGAAAAAGTGGGATAAGAAACTTGGAGAGGTCTTGAGAGGCTCAGATTTCAAAAATATTTTTCTTTAAGATTAATTATTGTGTGTGTGTGTGCATGCATGACTCTGTGTGGGAGAAGTCTAGAAGAGAGGCCTCAGCTTATATGGTTACTTGGATCTGAACTCTGGTCTTGACCACTGGATCATCTCTCTAGCTCCTGAAGAATGCTGAATTAGTAGATAACTGTAGAAAGGTATGCTGTGCTCTTTCATTGAAATGACTGAGGTCCCTTAAAATACGTATAGTCTTGACTTGGATGATGTTAATGACTGAGCAAGAAAAAGGCTCACAATGGAACACTGGCGCACTGAGCCCCCCGCCCAACTTGTCTTCTGTTCCCACCTAGGCATTCCTCAGACTGTTTGGAGCTCTGGGATCGACATATTAGATGAAAGCATGGCAAACTGGTGAGTGGTCATTTACTAGAAGTCCAGAAGGCAGTTTAGCCTAGCAGTCAGTATCAGCTCCGCACATCTGTCTTGTCAGTACCTCAGTACTATAGTGCTAATGCTTCATCTGAGTCCTGCTTTGGTTTCTCTTGATGTGATACAACCTGTTGCTTACCAAGGTAACTTGAAGAGGAAAGAGTTTAGTCCATCACCAAGGGAAGCAGGCAGGAGGCTCAGGACAGAAAGCTGGAAGCAGGAACTGAGGCAGAACCTTAGAAGAACATGGCTTACTGGATTGTTCGCCATGACTACTTACCTAACTTTTCTGAACAGCATAGGACCACCTGCCCAGGGCGGCACTGGCTTCAGTGGGCTGGGCACCCCCCCCCCTCCCCCAGCATCAATTAGTAAGCAAGAAAATGTTGCACAGACTTATCACAGGCTAGAGCAGTTTGGGTGGGTCTTCGGTTAGGTTCACCTCTTCTCAGGTTGTTTGAGATTTATGTGACGTTGAGAGGCAAAGAGAATTACGGGAATTTGAGAATCTAAGTAGGATACAAGTAATTCTGCTTAAAAATGATTTTATCATTTGACACCAATTTGCCAATGCATTCTGCAGGCATTTGTTAGCATAGAAACTTCTCTATACCCAAGACATGCTCTGGAGTTGTGTTCAAATGGGAAGGAAAAGTGAGATGCTGAAGATAGCTTCTATGCAAATGCTTTGTTTCTCCTCCCTCCAGGAGGCTTTAAGGGTCCCACTGCTCAGTGCAGTGCAAGATCGCTGTGGGCTTTTTCATTGACTTCGTGTTATCTCCGTTTTTATTTCCCAGCACCTTTTTTCCTAAATAACTTGGCATAACAAAATTTAAATAAAAGAATAACAAATCATAAAGGTTCAGTGTTACGATTTATGAATTTTTGAGAATTAAAAGCAGAAAAATAATTCGAATTTAACCAAACTACATTTGAAGGAATGAGATAATTTTCTCGAAACATTTGTTAAATTATATAGAAAAGGACAACTTAAATAGCACTTTCTTGCTCTCCTTAAGTAACTGCAGCTCATCTGATCATTTTACTTCTTGTTTTGGTAATATTAAAAAACTAAATACTTGAGATAATCCCACTGAAAGAAGTGCTTATTGAGTTTTATCATTTTTATTTATTTCCTACTGCATAGATAACTGCTCATTAAAACAATCCCATTAAGAGTGACAACAATGAAATTCACATTT